CCCCGAAACAAAGATAAATTCCGTAGGCCGAACATGGCTCAAAATGAACCCGATCGGAAGCTCCGCGAGGAGGTCTCTCCAATAAGGCGAGACGAAAGATTGCTCATTCACGGCGATCGCGACGCTCTGTTTGTCCTCGCGCGCACGCTAGAAAAATAATTGTTTGCCGATCGCCAGGCTGAGCTCGCCTCCGCTCGATCTTCGCGCAGCACCCTTACTTTCCGTTTACACCGCAAACAGCCGTGAGGTACCGTGGACCGTGGGACCTGTGACTGTCGAGGGTTAATTGCGGTTCTTATGTACGAAGTCGGTCCGGGGGTGGCGCCGAAGAAACAGGGTGGAACTGCAATGCGGGACGAGACTTCAATCTCGTCGTAATGGGGAAACGCAATTTTCCCGTAGTCCGCGCTCCACTGAGACCAGGCGCTCCCTTCTCCCCCTCTGTTCCTCTCCCTCTCTCTCTCTCTCTCTTTCTTTCTCTCTCTTTCTCTCTCTTTCTTACTCCTCCTCACGGCTTGATCTTGCCTTTTACACACGCCCGCGCCTTTCCCGCGCGTCAGTGCCTCGTTTCGAAATCCCTTTGACTTTGAAAATCGGTCAAAGCGCAAAACGACGGCTACGACCGCCACGCCGTCGTCATCCGATTGCCTCGCACCCCCTTTATCTGTCGATCCCGAGACTTGCACATAGTGTGACGGACACGATCCAATTTTCGGCATGTAACTCTCGACGGTGCGGAAGACGTTCGCGCGTCGATAAACATAGAATAGCCGACCCTTCCGCGCCGATATCGACCCACGCCTGGGGTATAGCGGTGCGTACCGACGCGAGAATGCAGCCGCTCCCGAATTATTTCCGCCCAGCGAAAGAATCGATGAAATATTTACAGTCATTGTCTATTCCCCCGTATGATCCTATCTGAGCAGTCTTGTGCCGCAACTTCGATTATTCAGCATTTGCATACTCATTCCTGAAATATAGCTTCGAGTGCCTTACCCACGGGCCAATAACTGACTCTCGATAAAGTTAAAAAATTCAATCTGCCTATATTTACATTCTCTATCCCGGGCGTTATTACTGGGTTATACCTTTCACATGTTAATGTCCTTCCAGACGTAGTAAGCGTAAACGTCTCCGATAGACGGGTACACGCTGCGCACCCTCGGGACACGAAGAGAGAACAGCAATCGAGGACGGGAAGAGGGTGGCGTCAGTGATCGAGAAGAAAATGGAAAATATCGATTAGCGACGTAATGTGATGCATACGGGTTGGGCGGGTCGACTTACTCCATTCTTCTCATTTCTTCTTTTCGCGTCGACTACTAATGACGCGGATACGCCGAGCCGCGTCGAGTCTACATCAATGCGCGTATGTAGAAAATCACGAATCGCCCGCGCTGCCCTTCTCACTACTTCTCCCTTTCACCCTTTTTCTTTCCCTCTCCCTTTCACTCCCTCCCTCTCTCTCTCTCTCTCTCTCTCTTTCTCTCGTAATCCGATATTCCTGCATTATCGATGAAAATCGACTGCCGGATGGTGCACGTAAGCCAAGCACGCATTAATGTTATGCGACTGGCGATGGGATCAAGCACGAATAGGACGGTATTGCTGGTTTCTTGCGCGAGGACCGATGTTTGAACCGTGCATCAATATGAATAAAAGCTCCCCTGTTCGCGCACGGTGTCTTGCAGTCCTTTCGTTGCTCTCGATATCGGGGCTCTTCCTTGAATCACATTAATCAACAATATATGTATGATCAAGTGAGAAAAAAGTGTACACTTTTCTCTGAATTCAAGTTTCTCTGGAAGGGAACGGAAATTTATCAGGGTGACGATGTGCACGGAAGAAAAACGCGCTGTTGAATCAATAGTATTGGTCAACAGCGCGACGTAGTAAATCTTCTTGAGTCAATGGTCAACTTCAATGTTATTGAAACTAATACTCAAGTTATTAATCCTCTGCGTACAATATTGGGTCTGTGAGATTCGTACGAATATTCGATCGCTAACCAGCTTTCGTAAAGGGTCCGAGAGAATTTCAAAGTAACGCAAACCTGTTTGCAGGTTTTGATTTTCTTTGTACCGTTATCTTTTATAGCTGAGACTTCTCGATATCTCTGGAAAAGAGTATCCAAAAATATCGATTTCCAGCAAAGTGAATGTGAAAGTTATGGTGATTGAAAGTTGCCCAGACAGATCCGGATTATATTCGAACGATTCGGACTCCAGATGACCCGAGAATTCGAAAGCTAACGTAATACTGATAAAAATTGGGGAGACTGTAGATAAAACTGCGGATGATATGCAAGAGATATGAAGTTTGGAGTATTCAAAGATATACAGGTATCAGAATTTGAGAGACGTCCGTATATATCTGGAAATCGACATTTTTCGAGCTTCGAAGTTTCCTACCAGCGGCGAAACGCCACGCACACACATTCTTTGGTCACGTTTGCTCGGCAAGATTTTACATCTCCCATATAACTCCTCGGGGAGCAGGCGCTTCCTTTTCAGGTAGCCTCTGGCCAAGGAGGCAGCTTAAAGTTTACCGCTCTTCCCTTTGTGGTATCGTCGACATGTCTCAAACGATTCACTGGCTTCTGCTCTGTCCCCCATCCTCACATCATCCTCCCGCTCACCTAAACCCTCCTGCGCCTTCCTTTTTCTCCCTCGGTAGCATCCCCGGGTAAACGAAATTAAAACGCCGAGGTAAGTTTTCCCGGACTACGTGGACGCCGGAAGAGGCTGCTAGGAGCCGGAGGAAGTGCTGAAGGGTACTCTGTCCTTTTTTCGCGAAAGTGCCGTGGATGCCTTGCGGCGCAAGAGACTTGACCTTTGTGCCTAGCAACATTATTAAGTCCTTTGCCCCGCGTGAGAGAACTCGTAGAAGCACGCGGATGATACCGCGACTGGGCGGTTCCGAAATGGCATCCGAAACGAAATAACTTCGAAATTCTTCGCCGTGGAAGCGAGCGGTCCTCCGAGAAATTTTCGCGAAAGTATTCGTCTGATGTTACGTCAAGCCCATACTTATCTCTTTTTTTTCTTCTTTTCCTCATCGCTACTTCTTTGACGCGAAAATATTTATTCCGGTTGTTGCTCTACCACGAAGGATATTAACGTCGCGATAAAAAGAAAAGAAAAAAAAAGTAAAATTTAAATTTCAAACAAAGAATGGTGAGTGAGGAACGAAACGAACATAATAACAACAATATGCAACTATTCGCAGCGTATTTATTACATTTTCCTTCATCCTTCCGCAGCACTACGAGGAGCAGGATTATTAAGATAATATCGCTGCGATCAAATAAATAAAGGCTTTTGGCGTTGCATGGTATTATGTATGCGATAAATGATCAAAGGCTTTGCCGTTGCTTCCATTAGAGCGTAATTAAAGGAACAGTCCGGGTAATTTATAAGTTCGTTATACAGTCGTCTCACTTTCATCTGCAGGCGCATAAATAATACTGCAATACGCCTGTCTCCGCGCGCTGATTATCCTCATTCCGGTTAACTTTTTCCGGCATCATTATAGCGCATCGTATTTTATTCAGTCCATTAGGAACATGACGTATAATGTGTGAGAAAGAAAGAGAGAGAGAGAGAGGGGAGTGACAGAGAAACGGAAGGAGAGAGAGGCTGCTTTGACGTTTTTCTTCTACTTTACCGTAATTGCGTAATTCCGTAATTTCGGCTCCTTTCTGTACCGTTTGCATTTCGGTCGTATCTCGCTGCTTTCGCGTGTGTATTTTGCTCACGAATTTTACGCGAAATCGCCACACAAATTCCTAACCATATGGAGTAATACGGCCGAAATGAATTGAAAATTCATGTTGTTCGACTTTTCTTTCCAACAAATATAATATTTCTACATATACGAGATATTATATCGTAATTATGAAAATTCAAATATCTCGAAGGGAAGAAGATCTCATCTCATTATAAAATGTTTATTTTGAGGAGCTTGGAATTTTTGCATATTAAATCGCGCTTAATTAAATCTATAATAATAGCGTTCCTAATCGAATATTTTTAACTAATGAAGTAAATAATGTAGAGAATATAAAAATGTCTGATGTCAAAATTATCTGCTATCCGTCTACTCGCTTACTAACATAGCGCTCTGAAAATAAAAGTAACAAGGCAGTTGTGGATACGAGACGAAAATGGAATCGCGTTATTAATACATTGCTGTCGTGACGTTGCTAGATTCACTAAAAATTCGTATTTCCCATAGTGTTAGGACGAATTTTGCTTTTAAAGCCGTATGATCGAGATTTCGACGTTTCGGTGAAACGTTATAATTTGGTTTTGGCAAGCCAGACTAATATAAAGTTACATTCTTAGCGCACAAACTGACTTTTCGCAGTGATCTATATTTTCCTAATTCAGTTACAATTAACACGATATAAACGTTCCTTGTCTAACTTTTTATTCTCGCGGTTATTTCAGATACCAAATCATCTAGTGTGGCTTTGTCTTTTCTACTTGTCATTTCACTCGTTCCTCAATCTGATGGGTGAGCTGCTGCACTTCGCGGATCGGAATTTCTACTGTGACTGGTGGAACGCCAACAATATCGACACGTTCTGGAGGACTTGGAATATGCCAGTACACCGTTGGGCCGTGCGGTGAGTGAGCCGATCTTTATTTAAAACAATGCTCGATATACAAAAATGGGAATTTTTACATGTATTTACGAATATTCACAAGTGGATATCCAATTTTAGTATTTCAATTAAAGAAGTAAAGCACTTCAGATTAAGATATCAGTTGCAATTAAACGGGAAGAATCGATTTTACAGTCATTCGTGTGGAACTGTACTCAATAAAATATTCAGTAAGAAAGTAAGAGTTGATTTTAAAGTAATTATAAGATATCGTGTACAGCTCAATGAAATTATAATATTAGAACCACGAAGTGAGGTGGAAAGGTATGTTAATGTATATTTAATTTACGAAAATCTCTCTCTCTCTCTCTCTCTCTCTCCCTCTCTTTCTCTCTCTCTTCATAGACCTTACAGGAGCATCGGACATTCCTGAAAAATGTAATTAAATCCCTTTAAAGCGAGACATACTCGTTAACGAAGTTTAGTCCCGGTTAGGAACAGAGAGAGAGAGAGAGAGAGAGTCGATCAAAGGTCCGGCTTGTAGCAAGACACGACGAGCTCATCTTTTCCTCCACTTCCTCGCCCGTTTCTCTCTCCTTTGCGCGCTCCCTTGCGCTATTTACTCTCTTCCCTCCGTAATACTTAGCCTTTCGCTCTCCTTTGCGCCATAGAAGGAAAAACTCTTCCGGCGCTTTACTCCGCGCACTTTGCACCTTTGACTTGGCTGTAGGAGTAACATGATTATATAATAATGCAATACACGTCTCGCCGAGGTTATTTCGTAGATATGGCCGTCATTTCGATGCGAGATACTCGTGTATCGTCTCGGTAACGCCGGCGGGCCATACCAATTACGTACAAACATCAGATGGGGAAGAAAAATGACGTTCTCGTTGTCTGCTGTCCCCGACACTTTGCGCTCCAAATACCGACCGTACAGTAACACATACCACGGATATTATTGCTGTTCTTCGTGAAGCTATAAGAATTCTATTAACTTAATAAGTTTGGCTAAATTTCGTCAAATAAGAAAGTATATATTTACTGCTCGGATATGTTATTCTTATATTTATATACACGGGGAAGATATTATATTCAGTTAATCCATAAGTTTGTACGGATTTTTGCCTAATTGATATTCGCATATTGGTATTAGGAGGATAGTTCCATATAGTTGATGTATATGCTTTACCGTTTATGTAAATGCTTTTATAGTTAACATTTCAGAAATTATTTTGTAGTGTAAGTGATAGTATTTAAAGAAGTACAGTAGTCTTTGTTGCGGCTTGAAAATGAAAGGCAGTAATGAGTCTGTCCGATGCATTATGCTGTTTTAATTCCGTAAAAATTGTTGGAGTTTGGTTGAGATATTTTTTCTCAACCATCATATTCACCCGACATTGCCCCCCCC